GGAGCAAGAATTGATTGGCTAGCGCGCGTAATGGTGTAGACGCGGGCTAGCGCCGAGCGTAGTATAAATGCGATCGTTTGAAGCAATCTGATTGGTTAGCGCGCGTGATGGTGAAAAGTGATGTGAAGAGCGAGCGTTGCAGAAATGCGTGATAATGTGGGATGTTCCCACATATGAATACAAAGAAAATTTATATGTTGCATATTTATATTGTATTATGTGAAAAATGCACATGTTTGCTCAGGATAAAGTCTGGGTTTTTGAGCATGGCAAAGAACTTTCAGTTTCCATAATTTATTATCATCAGCCTCTGTGGACGACTCTGTATTATGTAATACCAACTTATAATGCAGGTCTATTTCTTACCCACATATGGACTGGGGACTGAATATCTGAGCTGCATCTTTTGTGGGATTCTTTAGTTTCTGATTTCTCTCCGTTGAAGAGTATCTTAAATCATACCTGCTTCCTATCATGGGCTTCCCAAATTTTCATCATATTTAACCACCATTTTATCTCATCTCATCTCATTCAAAATCAAATAAACCCTGCAGTAAATATAATATTGTGTCATATAGTCATATTGCTAGGCAATTACCGCGAAACAAACAACAAGACAATGGCCATTGCTAGGCAGTGGACCCATGCACAACAGTGGAGGTACTGTTGGCGTTTCCTATGTGATCCTCTCTGAGGCTATACAACATGACCTACTGAGTTCAGTTAGTGAGTGCAGTGAAGGTGAGTAAAGTGGAGTTAATTGAGTTTGTGAGAAGTCAGTTAGTTGAAGGACTGCTGCAGTTCAGTCACTGTGAGTTGTTCCTGTTAGAAGCTCGTAGTTGAGGCATGGGGATAGGTCGCAAGCCCACAGTAAGAGAAACGCTCACCGTTGCAAGCCGTTACCAGGCATTGACAGGTGAAGACACTGCAGACTGAAAAGACTTAGTACATGCTGTAATGAACTGCAGAGTGTGTGAATTAGAACTAGCGCTGTAGTTACTTGTAGTTAAGATCTGTAAGTAGTCAATAAGTCCAATTATAAGAGCAGTCAGTATAGTAACTGACTATGGGCTGAATGATTGAGGGGTTGGAGTCCCGAGTCCTGGCAGGGTAAAAATTTTTTCTCCTTCACATCATCCTGGCTGGCTGAGGGGCCCACCAAGCCTTCTACACAATGGTACTGGGGGTGTTCTCCTCGGGGGTAAAGCGGCAGGGGCGTGAAGCTAACCACTCACCTCCAGCTAGTGCCAAGATCAAAAAAATGTGGATCTATACATCCACTCCCCCATACATCTTTATGGTGTACTGTTTAATTAGTTAGGCACAGACGTACTGCTTAATTAGTTAAGCACAGGGACAACTTAACTTTACTTTACTTTACAAATCCAAACCCTCATCTGCAGCCACTCATTCATGTGACAATATTCTTAAACAACCAACAGAGGGTGACGATTGAGAAAAGAAACAGCCATGGCCTATTTAAAAATACTGTCCCTGAATTTTCCTGGAAAGATTAAATAAAACCACTAAGGATGTTGATGTTGTAGTACTGATCTGTACCTGAGTTTGGGAGATACAAAATTCAAGTCTCAGCCAGGTTACCTGCTATCATACAGATCTTTCATGGTATATCTCAGTCTCTCTGCGCAAATTCTTGACAAGGTCAGGACCACTTCTTTCCAAATGTTATCTATTCAAAATTCATAATTCCTTTACTTTTATGTAATAATTTCTACTGTTGGATCAGCATCATTATATAACTTAAAACCAATTCAATATAACAAGGAACAAGTCGAGCTGATGAAATTAACTTGGGCTATCACATTTGTGCCAAATGATAGTAAAAATGTCATAATAACGGACTTGGAGTAGATCACGGAACTTTGTGGTATAGGAATCAGTCTCATTATACACTCGATCCTTCTCTCTCACTTTTCTAAACAGGTATATGTGTCTGGCCAAAGCAGAAATAACTAGTGATAACTTGCATTACATTGTGTGCTTTGGTGAACTGCATCATGGAACGATGTTGCTCTTTTTCCTGTTTGTAAAAGTCTCTGGATCAGGCATAAAATGCTAACGTTTGCAACACATTAAAACAACAACAAAAAAGCAACTGCGCTGAAACACGATTCATACCCTTTTTACATGGTAAAACAAAAACAGTATACCTAACTATACAATATTGAATAGCTTATAAAAACCATTATAATTTCAACATTTACAATACAGCTCTCTCCATTATGAGGTTATGAAAGCATGCTCTGAATCCAAACATATGGGATTACATAAGGGAAATAATCTTTGTCCTTGTATTTTATGTTAACTGCATCACAATGCTGCTCTGCCATTGCTCATATAGTAAAAAGGCATTTTGGTAGTAGCAAATACGGTTTGTAATAATATAGCCTACATCTGCTCTCCCCTTGCCTTCTAATAATTTCCAGTGTTGCAGATACAGAACGTGGTAGTAATTACATGGAGAGAAATGTGTCAAATATTGTCCATATTGTTGATAGTAAATTCATAAATCAAGTGACTATGTCAGTATAAGAAGTGGGTTACAGAATCAATAACTCCAGAATTAAGTTCTGGGATTATTATTCTTATATACTGGCATTATGCAATCATGGGACAGATAAGAAATTTATATCAGATTTTGCATTAAAAATCTGAAGGGAAGAGACCACTTGGCAGTCATAGGTATGAGTAATGGGATAGCATTAAAATGGAATTGAAATAAATATTGTGTGTATGTGTGTGTGGACCAGATTCAGTTAGGGACTGTAGCATGTAATTAGATGTGGCAGTTGGAAGAAAGAAACATTTCTGAATAAGAAGAAAGCAGTACTTCTTTTGGCTTATTTTGGACTTCACCCATCATCCGGTATGTAAAAGACAAAAAACCACGACGTTTCGGAGACTGGATCTGTCTCCGTCTTCAGGTGGATAGGGAAGGATAAACCTACTCATTTGGGCCAATTAGAAAGATCTAGTTTCAATCACTCAAGTCCAAAATAAGCCAAAAGAAGTACAATATACACCATCATCAGAATCCTTTAAAGTCTAAGATGAAAGCAGTCTTCTGGGATTTGGCACTGTGTATATGTGGTGTTAACCGACGTTTCGGAGGAAGCTTTTACTGGTTCTCATGGTCTATTCGCTTGCAGATTTCTTATATTTTTCCTTCTACCCTGAAGATGGAGGCGATACGTTCCTCCGAAACGTCGGTTAAGACCACATATACACGGTGCCAAATCCAAGAAGACTGCTTTCTTTATAGACACCGCCGTGTCTCAAATCTTTCTGAATAACTTTGTTAGCTACACATCTTCATTCATTCATTCATTATTAGAGGGGGTGGGTTTCCCCGTTCACTTTGACCAGTCAGCTACACATCTTACTTGCACCACCATCACTCCAAAAGCATTAATACACAGAAAAATACTGAGACGGCAGAACTGCAAGTTTTGTGCCCTTATTATTAATATAAGTTTGGCTACTTGTATGATTATGGTGGCATTTCCATGTATTTGTCCCCCATAATTACTCGTGAGAAAACTGATGGTCTTTCATGTTACTTAATATTTATATCTTGCAAAAAAATTACTATACTTTTGAACTTTTAAGTTTGCCTCTACCAGTAATAACATGAGGTTATGCTTCTAACATGAGACAGTCACTAGAACCACTTAATTTAGGGTCCAGAGTTTTTAGTGTCATCACAGACAAGTTTACCTTAAATATATGCAACTTTTGCTTAAGTTATAAGTTTGCAGAATGAAAATAAGATCATGTGTGCCACGTGAAAATATATATTTAGATTTATGTTTGATGGCAGTAACTATCGAGTCAGTGGAAACAGGCATGTGAAATCTTACATAGAAATAGATCATAAACATAATTGCTTACAAATTATGCATAGGTTATATACAATTTATTGATGCTTAGAGACATGGAAACAATCTGATATTTTAGGTTTATATTGACAAAATCTAAAGCAAACTTCTGCCTTCAGGGATATAATGTTATTATATTCCAGAAGACTGATCTCTTTATAACTACCATAAGAACCTCAAATCATAAAATCTGAAGTAGTCTGAATCTGTCCCAGTGGAAACTACAACAGTAAATGATTAAACAGTACTGTCCTACTTTACTAGTTCTCACTAAACCTCACCATACAGGCCACAATGAAAAGTTCTGAGGCTAGCAGATAACAGAAGACCTTCCCAGATAGACTCGTTTATTAAAGGCACATGTACAAAGTAGGGATCCTCTTGACAACAGGTGAAAACAAACAAAACTAGGCACAAACAAACTAAACTAAGAAATTAAACAAATGAACAAAAATATAAGTGAACGAAATAAAACGAAATTTTCCCAATTGAATAAGGCAAAGGCCAGCTTTCGAGAACTACTTACCCCTGACGGCGAGGTGCACTGCATGGCGGTCAGTACCCCGCTCATTCTCCACTGCGAGGTAGTAATTGCGGGAGTCCGCAGGGTCGACTTCTCGTACATGGAGCCTCGCCTCATAGCAGTCTTCCCGCGCATCCTGCAGAAACATGTATCAACTGGTATGAACACTATTTGCTGGTGGGGCACATAAATAGAGAGGCAGGTGGATGGTTAGGTAGACAGATAGTCTTATAAACAGAGAGATGGGCAGACTGGGAGATACTCGTAGATAAACAGACAGGTATGTATGTACATATGTATGTAACACAAATCCCATCCAGCCACAACAGTCTAAGTGTTCTTTAGCTTAACGTTGCCACGGCACTCCTCAGCAATAGAGTATCAATGAGCACGTCAGGCAAATCACTGTTCTCGGTCAATCGTGAATTAGAAAAATATGGGTCATGGGTCCCGCAGGTCATGGGCTATTGAACTGTGAAACACTGTGACTGCCTCTAAAGTGTAGTTGTTATTTGTAAACTGGAGAAGTCATTGTCAAATAAATCTATCTCCAAATTGAACCTTTTTGTGTAATAACTATCATGTGTCATACAAAAAAACTCCGTGCCTGTAGTCCGCAAGCGAACTATACCGCCCGCCGCTTGTCGGCGAAGTTAGTGCGGACCGCCTATGTGGTCTAGTGGTCAGAGTTCATTGCTACAGGTCCAGAGGTCACGGGTTCGATTCCCCGCGCTACCAGATTTTATGAGAAGTATTGGGTCTGGCATGGGGTCCACTCAGCCTTGTGAGGAAAACTGAGGAGCTATTTTGGGGAAATAAGGGCTCTGGTCTAGAAAACCGAAATTAACAGCTATGGGGATCCGTTGCTCTGACCACGCGACACCCTCTAACCGCTAAAGTCACGTGTCATATACATATGGATACACAGACAGACGGAGAGGCAGATATGGAAGAGGTTATGTGGTGCTATCTACCTGCGCTAGCTCCTCTGCTTTGTACCGCCCGAGGTCGGCTCCCGCTTCCAACTGTAGGCTTCCCCATTCCCAGGCGGCGCGTCGGGGTCTCGGGTCTGCACACACCACCAACCGGAGCAGTGCGTCCTGTCCGCGGGCCACCACGACTTCACGGCCCCCTGACTGCCGCAACACTTGGGGGGCGCCTGCGGAAAGGAATAAGGAAGGTCACACTTATATTAAACGTAACACGAATTTGAAGACTCTGATTTACTCTTGGATACCTGCAAAAATATATTCAGGCTGTATGCATTAGGCGACAGAGAAGTTGCCGTATTGACAGCAACTGGGGAAAGTTAATGTATACGTTTATAACATGTATGTATTACCTCGAGAGAAACGGAAAGTTCTACAAATGCTAAGAGCAAGTTTCTTTAGGGTATCTCTCATTAGTGTGTGTAGGAGTAGAAGATGTTTCTGAAGTTATTCTCTTGTATGGGCGTAATGGCGGGATCGAGAGATAATTAGCAGAAGAATTCTACAACCTTTGGGAAGAAATTCAGTTCTATGTAGTACGACTGCAATTTTGTTGGAGAAGGTTAACGACAAATAAGGTTTGCAAGAAACTCTGGAAACTGTAACGAAAGTGTTTGGTGGTCCCAACAAATTAGTTCCTTTAGCTTCTCAGATTATGACAAATGCAGGCTTACTCTGCAAAGAACTTTATGCAAGTTACCTCAAAACCATCTTTAAAACGTCTGTCAACATCTCAGAGCAAATTTGATGAAAAGATTTAAGGGAGTTGTTCAACAAAGAGGTGGGTTTATATTTTGCCTAAGGAGTGGATGCTCATGTGAGTTTTTTCCCATGTAACCGCTCACTTCGGCTGCCACTTCTTGTAACCGTTGGGCGCCACTTCTTGTGACCGTCCCTTATCTATCTTTATATTTATTTATTTATTTGCCCGCTTCGGTAGAACACTTGACTCTTCCCAGGATTGTGTCACGGTAATAACAGAGTCAACGCGGAGATTGCACATTTAAAGCTAGTCCACTGCTCGAAATCAAAGGCACTAATTTATGCTTAATCACAAATTGTTTATTTCAGAAGCAAACACTATAACTTTATTGGCAAGTACGGAGTAATGTGCCCTTTTTATTATTATCAAAGATTAATCGAACCAAATAAAGACTGTTAAATTTAGATAAACTTGGAGAGTGCAGCCCAATGACGTCTGCCTCTGATGAATTCTGAATGCCAAGTTCTTCTGCCCACTCTATCCTGCGGGAGCGTCACCTCATCCACTGTATAGGATTTGAACCGACGGCCTTTCTCCCAGACAAGAATAGTTTCCTAATGGCTGATTTTAACTGCCAATTCATCATACCATCGGTACTAGACAATCACATCACTAACTTTGAGAATAAAGAGATCCAAAGATATTGAACCCGGAACCCTACATGTGAAAGCGGTTATATCTTACTTTAGGGTCCAATTACACCCTTCCGAAGACACATTTATAACAGCTACCTTATTAGCAAAACAAAATTTACATCTTCGGCAAACTATAGACATGCCTTTTCGTAATGGGCCATGTCCCTTTTGCGGTCACCCAAGCTGCAGGTAACAAAACAAGGCAGTTGTTCCTGTCCAAATGCGAAAAGCAAGTCATAACTTCTTAATGGATGGGTCTCCCTTATATATCAGTCACTCTATTGAAATGGCTAAAGAGGAACATAGCGTCCATTAAAGAGTTTTAAAAGGTTTGGACTGTCACACCCAACCTACAATATTGTTCAACGCCATAACATCTCTCCCTATAAATGGAGATTTTAGCCAACGTGATTGCCAACAGCAGCGAGGAATCCTAGGATCCGATTTCCAGGATTGATCAAACCAGGGATATCAAGGGAGAAATGACTCCTTCTGAGAAATCGGATGTGAAAGTGGCAGGAAACTAGAAATATGTTCTTGCCTCTTTAGCAGGTGGCCTCAGAGACATCTGTTCTCTCAAGAGTCGAATGAAATTTTAATTTTGTGTCATTCCTTCGAGAGCCCCTCAGTTCACTAACTATACAAGCGTGTCTAAAATGCAAAATAACCTTTATGGTATGCGTTCTGTTGTGTGATATTTACGAATAGATCCAATTTGGGACAGTCACACAACAAATAATGAAAAAGAAAGAAAATAGACATACGCAGTGATACCACGAACAACGAATAAAAACAAATGTTGACACAGCAGTGTCTATTTTGTTTCTTTCTGATTATTTGTTGTGCGACTGTCCCAAACTGTATGTCTTCGTAAATGCAAAATAAACCTACTAAGTGAGACTATAACCTGCTATCCAAAGTTAAGGTCGTCAGCTTAATACAACTTACATAACTAAAATATTTTTAGGTTATTTATTTATTATATGGGAATATAATTATTAATGATGAACCAGTAACGAATTCAATGAAGGTTTCAGTTCCTTATTTCACTTTGACAGACTGAGCCATTTCAAGAGAAACTCCCGTCAGAAGTTTCCAGATGTCTTCTCCATGACCCTAATCGGCATCTCTCGAGTTTTAGAAACTACTTCGCGTCGTATGGGTGAGCTTAGCCGTATGCTATTTTGTGTGAGACCAAAGAATGGATTAGGGAAGCGACTACGGGCTGAGTAAGTGAAAATTTCAACGTACATACACCTTTATCCCATTATTATTCTTCGACGGCTGTGTGAATTCCACCTACTCGACAGATGTTACCTACTTCGTTGGCTATTGAAATCTCACCTAACATTAATAGTTGACTCGTTGTTAAAAGATGTAGCACACCAATAGGAAAATTCTGTGACTGATTTAGGTTTTCAATATGAAAAAAGTCATGTAACAGTATAAAATAATTTGTGTAAATAAGATGAAGCATTAGGCCTAGAACAGTTGCCTAAGAGACGGAACGTGAAGCTCCCGCTTGCACACAGGCAGTTAAATGAGGCATTAAGAGAGTAGTTAGTGCCGAATATATTGTGACGTGCTGCCTAAAAACCGGACTATGGAGCATATTTCAGCTTTAGTTGCTAGTCAACGGATATCATTTCCTAGACAGCGGAATGGAATGCAGCATTGCAGTTCTAACAGCGAGTTTCCATGGTTACAACGAATTGTTCGAAGCGTTGTATGACAACATTATTATAATTGTACGGTACTCAGGTACACAAGGCCGTGCAGGCCGCTGAAAGCCAACTGATTTTTCGGAAGAAAATGCTGTCTGGTGACATGATCCTCTGAAACGCTGGTTGACTTTAAACGGACTACAAAGCTTTATATCCCAGAAGACAGAACTTTTCATAATTTCCTCTGTGAGAAATTAAACCTTATATTCTGATGTGCTATTCTTATAGTATAGTATTCAGCTACTATACTCAGCAGTTATACACGTATCATAATAGAGCAGCAGAAACGTTTTAATATATTCTTTCAAAACTACGTGAGAATTCGTGAAGGTGTCTGACTGCATACACTCTCCCGCACACTAAAAATACATGTATTGGAATGAAGCATGGAACACAGTATCGCAATGGTGTGTTTGTGTGTGTGTGTGCGTGGGTGCGTGCGAGAGCTGGAAGTGGGAGCCAAGATCACTTCGATGTCAAACTCTCACTTCATGTTGTAGCCTCACAAAGGGAAATCTTACGTTTCCCTCACCAAGTTGACTGGGCTTACCACCCGTAGGTAGAAGAGCATCTTTAATAAATTCTGCTTTGTGTAGTTTACCCGCTTACCGCTCGGAGCATCTGAGTGCCCTTGAAATACTGGGATGCAATAGGAGGAATATTTTGAAACTACTTACCCACGACTTGAACAGAGATGGCTTCGCTCTGCACGAGGCGCTCTACCCCTGCTATCACGTTGGTCGCCTTGCAGACGTATTCACCTTTGTAGTCATACGTGACATTGCTGATGTGTAGCCGCGAGTCAGAGCCTCTGATAAGTACCGTACCCTCCGCTGTGGGCAACTTCTGCAGCCACTGGTACGTGGGCAGAGGATTTCCCTCTGCGGTGCAGCTGAACGTAGCCTGTGAGTATAAGGGCGCCGTCATCACTCGGTCTGGGCCCACATCTATAATCTGCGGCGGGTCTGCGAACATCAGCAACAGTAGAGACAAGGTTAAGCAACTGACTGAATGACTAATACTTTTTATTCCGGTCTTCTTGTCACGCGAAATGAGTGAGGTAGGGAAGGCGAGTCACATCGCAACATGTGCGCGGTCATCGCCGCTGAACGTTCCAGACATCCGCCTCTTCACGCCTCTCCTAGTAACGCGAAGCGCCTAGCCCAGAAACTACAAAACTTTTATACGTTGCGCCCCCCTTAAAATATTTAATAAATTTCACGCCCCCTTCCAAAACAAGTGCAAACAGATTTGACATAAAATTTAGTTATTGGTACATATTTTTATAATACACTATAATTTCAATGCATTTCATTTAAAGGACTGAAATAAAATACACGCTTTATACCTGGATTAGTGGGACGGATGTGGTTGCCACTTTGAACACAACTTATTAAGCCGAGGTTGGAGTTCTGAAATGGCTAATCTAAGGTCATTTTCCAGGTTCATCGTGGAACAATAATTTGTTTTGATGGCTGTCACATATGAAAATTCAGTCTCGCACTTTAGGATGTTGAGAAAGGAAGGAAGATATTCGAAGCTTTCCGTTTCATGTGAGGGAACTATATCCAATGTTCACCCAATATTCTACGTACGACTTTACAGGAAACGGAACTTTTAAAAGAGTGTCAGATATGTCAATATTTCTCTTCAAGAGAGAGAGTATTCTTAATTCTGGGGCGAATCAGCATGGAATGGAACCGTAATCCTTTTGTAATTATCACTCACTGCTTCTGAAAAATACTTAGAAAACCTGACTGCAGAATAACCAAGTGATCTTTGATACGTTGATTAATTCTTGAGTCCATTGTTTCCACAGTTTTCTTCCACAAAATCCTTCAAGCGAGAAAATATATCCAAACTTTCCCTTCCCCTTTCCCTTTTTACTGACCCACAAGCCAAACTTCCCAGCAAATGCCTTCACTTTGTCAGTCACTACAGTGATGTCAGCATCATTCCCTTGCACACCTATGTTCTACGTACTGAAATCCCCAAATAAATACGCTAACTTAGGGACAAATATTCAGGGTTAAAATGTTCAGCATGTGCTACATTTTCTTCTTCTAAATACGGTGCTCATACCTCTCGTAAGTTTTACACATAAGAGACAACGTTTCCTCCCGACAGCCAGCGAGAATTACAGTAAAACAGGAGTGACTGATACTGTGCCCCCATTTCCTCGCATAAATCTTCGAAAAGTCTGATTTCCATGGGACGATCACCGTATCTACAACTTTAATCAGTTATGGGCATAATTCCTTCGTAGGCAGTGATTCAAAATGTACCGTACAGTGAGTCGACACAGCTTCTTGTGCTGACCACGTAATTAAGGCATGCAGTCCGTCTTTATATCCCGCCAATATGCGAGCTGCATCCGGCCATACTTCAACACAGTCTGACCATTTTATGCTTCTTTTCTCATGACCTTATCAACAATTTGGAAGAGTTATTTTGCTCTTACTTTACATTTTATAGGTTTGTAGAAAACCATATCTTCAACAATTGTTGTATCTTCAAAACATCGCACGTAAGCTATCAAGTAACCAATAGCACAACAATAAGTTGATTCGTTAATCTGAAATGAAAAACGTTTCTTTCTCAACTTCTCAAACAGCAGTTCTTCTAAGTCTTCTGATATATCAACGAAACGTAGAGAGACCGTGTTACTTGATATCGGTGTATTATGAAACTACTGAGCATATTTTTCACCGAACGTTCCACCATTTCTATCACCTAAGGGAATAACGCAGTTTCAGCAATTGTGTGCGGTATCTTGTTCTGTGCCATTCTGCATAGCATCTGGTAAGACGCTAACAGGGCTGACACAGCAGCAGTATTAACAGAAAGCTTTTGCTGGATACGAATTTCATCAAAATTTCTAAGGAGGTAATCTTTGGGCTTCTTTCTCATTTCTGAATGTTTCATTTCAAGGTTCCGCTTCAGTTTATTTGGCTTCATACTGTCAGCTGCTAATATACTGAGACACAAAACAAACTGAGTTTGTTCTTCTTTTTAATTATAAAACTAATGAAACCAAAAGACAAATACGATTCATCGTACTTATGCGGTTTCAGTTTCGATATACAACTCCGAATATTATTTGCTGTAGCTTATCGTCTGGTTCTCTTTTTTTACCGTTTTAAAATCTATACATTATTCTATGGTTCAGAAAACACCCCTTGTTAATACTCGATACTGGACTGTAACGACTGCACGCAGTAGACACTACGGCATGAATCTTCCATGTGTGTAGGCCATAGAACTAAAATGTTTACGTGTTAGCGCATCGGATTCTACCGCTGAAGTATTTCTACGTCTTTTCACGCCAAACCTCATCATTGAAGAATATATATAATATGAATGTCATTTCTCATTAGCTTACACCAACAATGAGTAAGATGGCTTCACAACTTATGTGACAACAGTTGTATTGCTCGGGACGAAGATTTCCGGCCCTAGAGGATGGAGAAAGTTAGGGGTGGATATGGTCAACTTGAGGACTTGAGTAGCTGCCTCGTACCTCTTAACAACAGTGAAATGAGTTTATTTAATGGTAATTTTGCTAGCAATCCTCAGAGAGTCCCTAACAATACGTAGACCTATTGTCGTTTATTTCCTAAAACCGTCTATGCTTTCTGAGTTCGAATTACATAGCGTTGTAAGACAAAAAAAAA